ACGATCTTGACGAAATCCTTGCTTCTTCTTCTCTTTCTCCTCTTCTTTCTCTCTTCTCTCAAAAGCCCTAACTCTCACTTTAAAAAGAAAAACTGATATAAAATCAGTCTAACACCTCAATATAACCCAAAAGAAATGGCTAGGGAAAAGACCAAAATGCCCTTACAAATTCGGGTTAACTGCTCTGCCAACAACCCAACTTCCAAAGGGGATAACTCACTCATACGAACTCGGAATCGAGCAAACTCGGTGGCGTTGGAAAGATCATTCCAAGGGATTTCCAAACATAACTGGAACTACACCTAAATCATCATGATCTAGGAGTTATAACTGTTCAAAGTTGACCAAAAACTCATTTTTTTCCATACTTAACCAATTTTTTCCAGATTTTTAAATTCTTTCCAAAAATGACTATTTCCGATTTTTAAGCTTCTTTCCTAGTTATCAACTTGCAAGATTTCACAGTTAGTTTAGAATGTCAAGGTCCAAAAGTGTGTTAAGAAATTGAAACTTTTGGGGAGAATTCTGAGTTTTTGTTCTGCGCAAACTACTATAGGGGGTGTCATGTTGCATTGCGGGAAAATTAATTCTCACTATAGAGGGTGGTCCCACTATGGCGGAACCTCTATAGTGGGTTGAATGACTATAACAGGGTTAGTCGGGTTTTTGTGCAGAAAAGTCCCAAAACCAATCATTATTTGGTTATCTCATTTTGGGGGACTGTAAAGGCGACCTAGGATATTTTTCAACTGATTTTCTCTCTTCGATAAAGATAAGTTAATTACTCTCCTAACTTGTAATTTGATTCTCAAGCCTTAGAATCTATCGCGGTCTATCTTAGGGGAGGGTTTTAACTTGAAATTATGATGGAAAAGGCTCTGATTGGATAGAAATCATGAAATTGATCTTGGATTAGGATTAAGTAATAATTGGGGTTTAACTAAGTCATTGTTCATTGATTGTTGTGTTTATTTATTGTTTTAGACCAAGAACACGTCAAGGAATTGCAAAAGGGAAAAGCTCACGTTCTTTAGAGTATTAAGGCTTGTTTCGAGGTTGGTGATGATTGTTTATTTTCAATGTATGTAATGTTTGCTTGCTAACTGCTTTATAGTATTACTTGTGCAATGCATGCGGGGAACTCATAAGGGATGAATATGAAATAGCATCATGTTGACAATCTCATGCAATGAGCCTTTTTAATTTACTTGTGGCTTTGAGTGTGATTATTCATTGTGATTGTAATTGTGCATGTTGTTTGTGATTGTTGGTTGACTCGGGTACCACGTCAATATAGATTGACGAATGGTTGGCTCAGATACCATGCTTGATATGAAATACTCACGGTTGGCTCAGGTACCACACATGATACAAGATATCATTTGATTGACATAGGTACCACGCCTGGTACGGGATATCATGTGGTTGGCTCGGGTACCACGCCAATACACTAATAGTTTGTATGTGAATTTCATGAGAGAATTGGTATATGTTTTTGTGATCATGTGGTACATGTTTCATGTGTTTGTTAAGTCAAGGTTGATGATGGGGAGTCTATATGTGTTGGCTTGTATACTGTATTTTGATTTAAAGTTTAATTTCATATATTTGGAATATCATGAATCACCCATTTAGGAGGGTTAATAGTAGAGAGGAGGTAAATGGGGATACTCTAAAGAACATGATTTATCAGTACAATTTTCCCCTAAATGAGAGTAATTTGCCTTTACATATATGTTGTTTATTCTGTATTTTCTGGATCAGCTCTGCAAAATGGACCTTCTTCATCTTTGCATGACTTATAGGACATCCTAAGTACATCAGTGGGAATTGTCCTCTCAGAAAACCAGTAGTGCATTTAACCTCCTGAGCAATAGCAAGTGCAGTTTTAGAATGCATACAACAGAAGTTTTCCCCCCTATTAATCATTTGACCTGACTTTTATTCATACAACTGCAACACTTCCATTATAAGTTGTAGAGATTTGTTATCGCGAAGATGATTGTATCATTTGCATAAGCAAGTGATTCAACTGGTCACTCCATTTAGGTAATTCATAACTTTTAAACTCATAATTAGAAAATATATGATTTAGGGCCCTTGAAAACACTTCAGCAAACAGAATAAACATGGCAGGAGACAAAGGATCTCCTTGTTTTACACCCCTTGAAGAATGAAAGAAACCATGAGTC